TGTATATAAAACATGTCCTGGCCTTCAGTTACTGTCAACTCATGTCCTAATGCTCAAAAGATTTATGCTTAATAAAAGAAACAGAAAAGCAGCTTTTAACCCTGACAGTATATTCCTCCTCTTTCTTCATAAGAAAAGACAGAGTTTGGGTAAAATTCCAAGTAGAAGAAACAGGCTTCACAAGGACCCTTCTCACGCTTAAGACTCTGTTTCCCACAAGAAATAGAAACCACAAATCCCAAACACGTAACAAAACAAAACAAACCCCATAACACAACCAAAAAACCCCATCCAAGTCACATTTATTGTATTTTAGCAACTTCACTCTCCTACCAATTCCCTCAGGTTTCCTGCAGGATCAAATTCAAAGGATTTGAAGGCACTGCCTCCACAAAATGAACTAGAAAACAGTTTTAAGAGGCCACTTTGGAATCTGTCCAGGAGTTAAATCCTTCATAGCACCTGAAGCATCCTGGTGACATAGAGAGCAAGTTCAATTACCCACTGGCCCAGTGAGTTATAGTGCAACACCAGAACTTGAGACACAGCTGCTGGGAGACTTGTTTTCAGGCAGTCTGTTGTCTGCTATTCCATGCTTTAAACTTAGAATTAAAATTTGTACAAGTTTTCAGATTTTTTTTTCCCCTGCCCTCTGCTGGTGAGAGGGTGAGGGTTAAAAACACAGACAAAGAATGCAAACAGGAAATCAAGAGACCTTGCCCAGTGCAATCTGTTCCTTCATTTCATATCATCTGATTTAAGGTGAAGCAAGGGGGAGCATTCATTTAAGCAGCTATAAAGAAAAAAAAAAAGATTGATTGAAAAGTAATTTTTTCTCCGTTTCTTATGGAAAAGAGTCACAGGTGTCTGTTTTTCTTATATTTTTTTTTAATGGCTGTTCCCCTTTCAGCCCATTAGATTCAAGGTCAGCTCCAGGTCAAATTACACTGAGCCTGAGATGCTCAGCAGCTTCAAACCCAGCTGTGGGATTCCTCTCCCTCCTGCATTGCACTGGGCATCCATTCTGGCATCCCAGCCTGGAAATCCCTATGAGAGGCTTGGGGGTACAAATTTTCATTTCTGCATTTAGATGGCACAGTGGTTGCCACAGTGGCAAATCAACAAATGACATCCTACTAATAGAACATGCTAAATCAGTGGGTAAAACATGTGTCTTGGTACAGCTAGACATGCTTAACCTTGGAATTACTGACTGCTGGCAAAAGTCAGAGCATACAGGATAAACTTAAACCTAGGAGTGTCTCCTACAACTCTCTGTGGGTGTGAATAGTGAGGGACAGCTGCTTTTCTCCCACAAAAAATATAAAATCTAGCAAACATAAGAAGTAAAATAAGACTCTGAGAATATTGGGGGCTAAAAATACCCCTACTGCCAAGCCTTGGATAAAATCCAAGCCTTTTGAAAGCTGCCTTATGGCCAGTGTTTAGAGGGTAGAGGCTTGCACTCATTATTAGTGCACACTGTTACCTGACATTTATTTGCCTCTACAGTAAAATATGGAAGAGAAAACAGCACACATTTTCTTAAAGGAAAATACTGAAGGGGAGAGAAAGGAGGGAAAATATCTAAGAAAGGAAAATAATCTAAACCCACAACTTCAGAAAAATCCCTCAGAAATCTGAGCAGCCCAAGAGAGACGAGTTCAGGCTGTAAGATGAATTTGCACTTCTTTGTGCTCACTACTAAAGCCCTCCAGGAGCAGCAGTGATTCCAGCAGTTGGTTAAAAAATGGTCTATAATAGCAAAATGAAAACAAATCCTCGTAATCCTGGACCCTACTCCTACTTATTCATCCCTAGAAGTGGTGCAAACATCAATGCTCATGGTGGCCATCACCATCTGAGGAGGAGAATACCACCCTACCCTTGGATTGAAAGGTACTCATGTGAGTATTCTGAATATCCTCTCTGATGTCTGGGTCTCCATTTCCAGCCCTGAGCTCCACCACAAGCAGTTAAGAACCACCAGGAAAACTTCCTAAAAAGGAGAACCGTTGTACTAACTCTTGAAAGACCAAAACAGAAACAAAAGGTTCTTAATCCATCTTTCTATGAAGAGGCCCTCCAGGGTTTTTTGGCAGCTGCAGCATGTGTGAAATATTACAGCATTTCTTTGTAACTGCTGGATGAGGTGCCTGATGATTCTAAGGAGGGCTGGCTACTGCTGCAAGCACTCCACAGCTGGAAGGTGACACAAATGTCCATCCAAGTTTAAAATACCTGCACATTTGCAGGGATGAAGGGCATTTGTATCCAAAACTCAGTTTTCAGTGCATTCTTTACAGTAGAATATGAAGAAGAATGACAGAGAAACAATTTTGAACAGAGAGATGACAAGATTTTTTTATTCCCGCAGGAATACGAAATCCTTGCTTAGATTCATAACATGTGGGTAAGTGGAGAACAAGGGATCAAAAGACAGGCACAAGCATCTCCTGATGTATTAAAGCTAGAAAACTTGCTTCTTAAGGGCCTTGACTAGTCAAAACCAAAAAACCCCAAACAAACAAAAAAAAAACCAAACAAAAAAACCCAAAAAAACCATGCACACACACACCAAAAAAACAAAAACAAAAAACCCAAAACCAACCAAACAAAACAAAAAACTCATACAAATGGGGCCTGTAATAGGTAGTTTCTGCCAGGCTTCAGGAAACTCCTGTTTGGAGTATACAGCTAAAAATCCCTCAGCAAAAACCAGGGAACTGGTCAGCTCAAAGACAGGATATAAAAGTGAGTAAGGAGTCAGATATTATATTATGTTCAGACATTAAAGAAGACAGTGACTGAATTAATTAAAACCAAAGATCAATGGGAAAATATGAAAACCAAAAAATATAAAGCTTTTTGCTCATTCTCGATTCCCCTATGGACTGATTCTCCAAGCTTGGGCAGTCACAGCTCTGGTCTTCCATCCATGACATGCTGCTTGCTCCTGGGGAATCTTTGGGATCAGTTTCCAGATCTTGATGCTCCAGGTGGTGAGCATCATCAAACATTCAAGAAGAAATCTCTCCACCAAGAAAAAAAATAGTCCTGACATGTTCCATATGCACTGAGCTGGCATCTGGATATAAAATCTGCAACACCTAACTATGCCAAAAACCTTCCTGAGACTCCAGAAATAAAATTCCTAAGTGTGCCCTCAACTTGACTGCCAGAGGAATCTTTTTTATCCCTTCTTTTGATCCTCCCACACAAAAGTTTCCAAAGATGGAGCAAGCACCCAGTTTCACATTTGGCAGTGTTAGAAACAACTCTGCAATGGCCTTGAAATGTTTGACATTTCCACTTGTCTGGATGCTGATTCTGCACAGGAGGCAGCTCTGCCTGCATGGGGCAGGGGCTCAGTGCAGAGCCCAGAGCCTCTGGGGCCGGGAGTGAATCAGGAGCTGTAACTCAGCCAAAGCAAGTTTCTCATGTGCTTCTCCAAAACTCATATCTTGATATCTCCTTGTTATTTTTCTTGTACTTCCTGCCTTTTTTTTTTTTTTGCTTATTTGTTTGGGTTTTCTTTGTTTGTTTTTTTGCTTTTTTTTCTTACAAAGCATAAAGTTTCCATGAGACAATCAGAGCATGACTTCTATCTAGCTGTTTCATCAGGCTAAGCATGCCACACGCTTTTACACATCCTTTTTTTTTTTTTTCTGATTATTTCCCTTTTGAATAAACTCTCCATTATCAAAATAAAATAACATCATTTACAAAGCACCACCTCAGCAGCATGCCTCAGCTTTCATTTCACAGGGCTATGCCAGCAGCCACAAACAGAATCAAAGCAGCCAATTAAAAATCCATATTCATTAACAAACATCATGTGTGCTATAATGCCCTGCATTGACTGTGGCACGGCAGGAGGTGGGAAACTCGCTGAGTTTTCCTGCTCTCAGTCTGAAGCATTGTTTTATTAGAGGAAGGGTTTTACCTTTGCTGCTCCAGGCCAGCAAGGAGAGTGTCCTGCAAGCCCAGGGGGCTGGGGCAGCAGAGGGGGCAGCACCTTTTCCCTCAGTGATGCCAGACACAGCCCCTTGCCAGGATGAGGAGCACACAGAGAGAAGAGCATGAATCTGAGCCAGACCCTCCCCACCGAGGTCTTTGGGCACCAGCAGGGCCCATGGCAATGGAGCCTGTGGCACCATGAGCAGACAACATCATAAACTCTGCATATGCTTGATTGATGCAGCTCGTGGGCTCAGCAGGGCCAGGTCCAAGCTGCTGCAGTGAATTACCAAATTGCCCTGGCTCCAGGGGAGCTGCTTTGATTTACACCATCAACACTTCACTGCTGCAGACAGTCACATGCATAAGTACAATATTTCAGACCTGTACAATGAAGTTATATGAAGGCGTGCCAGGGTTATTTATTTATTTGTACCCACGAGCCAAGAGATTTACAACTCTTTATAAATACAAGCTGGGCAATTTGCTTTCTATTTTTAGCAGGAATGCTTTGTGCAGGAAACAGCTGTCAGCCACTGGGAGCTGTGTTCCTCTGAGCAGCAGCTTCAGACAAAGAGAGGCCTCTTAGAATTCAACTGGAGAGGTAGGGTCACTGCTTTGTGTTGGAAAAGAAGCTGGAGATGGTACACAGCAAGAAAAAATAAAGCAGTTAACAGAATAAACCCCAGAAAAATGGGCTGGAAAAGCTCGAAGAAAAGGACCTTTACACAAATATATTGCATACAAGTGTGACTGTCTCATTCCTCCCAAACAGCTTCAGAGCCCAATCCTGTCGAATTCTGACCAAGTTCAGAAAACCTTCACGAGACTTGGAGCCAAGCTATTCCTACAGCCTGAAGGAAGATGATCAGCTGGGTATTAGATGAGAGACTCTGCTGATGTCCTGATATGCTGATTTCCACTGTGGAAAAATCTGTCACGTCCCCTTCCAGAGCCAAAGCTCTCCCCACCAAGCACATGCAGCAGCAGGAGGAGATCAGATCCCAGATCAGATCTGCCACCTTGGAGCAGACACTCACCTTGGCAGACGAAGGAAGAGGGAGTTTCCCCAGGATGGACCCGTGCTGTGATGAACACCACTTTCTGTTCAGCCCCTGGACGCAGGTTTGCTGCAGCAGAAAGGGGCAGGGGACGGAGTGGGGGGAAAGAAAAAGAGAAATTAAGATCATTAAACTGTGCCCCAGATGTAGAAGCAAACAACTGTTAGTTTCTAAAACACACCCTTTCATTAGAATTGGTCACACATTATAAACAAGCACAATCCCTGACCAAAGGGACAGAGTCACCAGGTCTCCTCCCCAGACTGCACCAGGGCTGCAAGACTAATGACATGCAGCCAAACCTGCAACAATGAGTTTAGGTCTCCTTTTAAACCCCAGGATTTACTGCAGAGAGTTTAACTGCACTGTGATTGTGCTCTCACTCGTGACAAATGACCCCCTGGGCCACAGGAATAGCACTGGGGCTCCAGTCATGGTGAAGCCAATTGCACCCTGCATTACACTTGGTCCAAGCCCTAACAGTGCCAGGCAGTGGCAAAGTGCTACAAATTATATTTATTATGCTTTGCTCTGGAGGATTTAGAGGTGATTTTTTAAAAATCTGTTAAGTGTTTGGAACTGCACCTGCTGTAACTGAAAGAAAAGTTTAAAAAAAAAAGTATAGAAAAGAGACCAAGATTAAATCCAGGAACCTTCTCCAGTGAGGGCATGAAAATGTGCCATTTCCCCTTCAAATTGCAGATAGGTGGAAGACAGATTTAGATCCCAACTATGCTGACTTTAACATGGGTTAATCCCTCAGTTTTGAAACCACACCACTTTGGCCACCTGCTTCAGCCATAAACTACACGGGTCAACCAGGATCCTTCCTTTGTTTGTGCTGTGACTGCATTTCATAAACAGCAGATGAAAATCCTGCTCTTGCAAAATGGGTTCTGGGAATTTTAAAGACTATAAGAGGTCAGGACCTCAGTTAGATGGCTTATCTCAACCTGAACACACACAGCAGGGGTAATGCTAAACACAGCAGGCTCCAATTGCTAGAGACAGTTTAAATCTTTGTTTTGAAGTAAAAAGTTTACAGACTGGAATCTAAATCCAAGTTGTTGGTTTTTTGTTTTGGGGTTTTTTTTTTCCTCTTTTAATTAGGTAGATGTACTGCACACATATCCAAAGTCAGACTTTTATTTTCAAAGATGTGTGAGAGTCCTCAAGACCATACCTTAGTTAATTTTTTTTTCATTTCCCAAATTCTTAGAAGTGCTCCATTTTCCCTAGGGCAAATCACACCTTACAGAACCATAGGAATAATCAATACATTTTTTGCTGTTCTCAGGAGACAATTGCAGCAGGTTTCTTCTTTTATTTCCTTAGCATCTCAAAGTCCTGCTGCTGCTCTCCCTATAACTCAGCCGTTCATTTGTTCTCTCTTACACCAGCTTCACCATTCTCTGATGTTTTTGAACTCCAGAGGCAAAGAAATATAAGAAAGAAAGTGTCTGCCAAACCCTGCAGCTGGTGGGGTCAATTCTCTCAGCAGAAGAAAAGTGGGAGGCAACAAAAAGGAGCACAACCCCATCAGCTCGGAGTCGATCACCATCCCACATCATTTGCATTAAGTAGAGTGGGAGGAAGGAGATAAATCACCAAACCAACTTTAAGGAACAAAAGGAGAAGGCTGGGATCACTTTAGCAAGAGGAGATGAGTTTTCTTTCCCTGTTGGAAAACCAGCATTGCATTAAAGGGACTGTGGCACAGCACAGATGTGATGCTCAGCACCATGGCTGCTTTGGGTCTGGAGCAGCACTGGACAGGAATCTTTTGGAAAGAGGATTGCTTTGGGGTATTTTGTGGCTTTGGCTTTGTTTTCAATTACAAAATTGTTGTTATTTATGCTTCATAACACTTATTAGAATCATTATTATGATCAATAACTTTCACTCTGCAAGTCTGTTTTAATTGGCAATGAATTAAAATCCCCACAAGTCAAGTCTGCTTTCCCCCCAGTGCAATCAGTAAATGATACCCTTGTCTTTCTCTGACCCATGAGCCTTTCCTTTTTATTTCCTCCCCCGGTCCTGGAGAAGAGGGAGCAGCTGTGTGGGCATCTGGCTGCTAACCAAGGTTAACCCACTAAAAAACTACAAAACACCATTTCATTTTTTAAATTAAATGTTACATTAGAAATACATCCTATTTTCTACTTCAGGATTGAAAAGATCAATCAAAATTAAGAAGATTAGAAGTGTATAGCTTTGCTTAGTAGATGCCAAAAGCGCTTAAGCAAAATGACAGAAAGGCACACTCCATTTAGCCACAGCTTTGAGACTTGTGGAAATGCAGAGAAATCTGTTGTGGTACCACTTTTACCCTTCTGAACACCATAGCAGTGAATCTTAGAAACAAAACTCCTTTGCAAAACTGTTTTTTTTGGAAAGAGAGGGAAGTAGACATGTCTGGAATGGCTCCTTTTCCATTTCCTTTTCTGGAACATATATTGAAGATTTAAATGAACATTTTCTCTTCCCTTTGAAGGCTACCACTATCATTATTGTGGGTAATACTTGCCTTGCCTTACGAGAGACCTAAATAATCTGTCACTGTGTGTTAGACCCTGGAGTCCTGCTCCTCACCCACTGCCATCCTGCCCCTGCTCAGAGGAGAATTCCCCAGAGCAAAGCTGTGGAGATCAGAGATGCTATTCAGAACAATCAACACTAACCTCAGCATCTACTCTGGCTCCCCAGCAACCACAGTAGTGGTAAACACCAAGCAAATTTCATAGTGAAAAGAAACTCAATGAACTGCAAGCAAGCAGCTCAGATCTCTCATTCTGAACATCACTTGTGCTGCTTGGCCCTCAACCCATGTTCCTTCTCCTCTAAAGCTTTGGCAGGTCAGGCCAGTCACTTAACCCCACTGGCAGCACTCCCTCAGCTCTCACCCAGGAAACAGCAATTTCCACTCCTGGTTGCTTATTGTGCTGCTGCAGCTAAAGCAGGCTCGCACAGAAAACATTTTCTACTTACAAAGAGAGAGTCAGATCGAATTCTAAACCTTCATGGGAAGGCAAGAAATTCACTTAGCCATTTTCATTCAATTTTCATTTTTATGCTACTATAAAAACATGAAAATGATAGTATTTGTATATAGCAGCTTAATGGCAGGTATCTAGAACATTCAAGCAGAAATATTAAATTTATGGAATTGCATTTGCACCACCAAGATGAAGTACTATAACAGAACTGAGGGAGAACATCACTCCTCAACCTCCAGGATCTTTTCTGCTGCCTTGTCAGACCAGAATCAGACTGCAGATTTGTGGTTTCTTTAGGTCTTGCAGTCATGATGTAGTTTATGATTCAAATTCACAAATCAGCACTCAGGATGAGAGGTCTGACCCTGGAAGTTGGGTTCAGAAAGCTGTGAGGCTGATGCCCATCAGGAGATCTTGGGAGTGAATTTCACTCCTTTGCAGAGGACTTCAAAGTTGAGAAAGGTACTAGAAAAACCTTGTCATCTCTGCAAGACCAGAAGGCTCCAATCCATGGGAATCCATCATCCTACAAACATATGGCCAAATAACAATTTTATTTAAATACCCACGTATATTTTAATGGAATGTTATCCCCTGCAAATGAATTCCATATTGCCATCCTGTCTCAGGTACTTGGCAGTATGAGGTGGGCTGATGTCAGCTTGTTTTTATTCAAAACCCTGCGAGTTAAAGACTCTACAGAGGAGATCAAAGCAGCTCTATTGCATTCCCTCCTGTGTGCTACCCCAGCTTGTCTGTGCCCAGCAGAGCTGGAACATCTGTGTCGAAAGCGAGCGCTGCCCCAGGTGCCTCATCCACACCACATTAACCTGCTCCAGCAAATCAAATCCAAGCAGCATTTGCTGTACTCTGGTTTTTCCTAAGAGACCAGATCAGCACCTAATCCCATTTATTTTTGCTCCTTCTGTCCATAAATGCCATTTCAGGTAAGAGCATGCATCTCAGCAATGCAAGAGTGCAAAGGAACAGCAATTTTGGTCACTAGTGAATCCACTGGTCTTGGTGAGGTCGGACTTTCTTTCTCACCTTCTTATAGTTGGCTTGAGCAGCACAAAGAAACTAGGAGGGACAGAAGGTAGAAATGATGCCATTTGTACCACAGAGTGATGAGCAAAGACTGGGATAGAGGTTCTGGAAGTCAGACACCCATTCCTATGCAGTTTTACCCAAAATGGGAGGCAGCAGAATTTTGTATCCCATGCAAAAGCCATGGAAGGCCAAGTCTGTGATGGGGTGGCATTGCTACAGGGGACCCTCACTGCTCGTGGACTGCCCTCCCCTCCCATCACCTTCACTCTGTCCTGCCTGGAGTTTTTTCAGCAAAGCCTCCTTTGTGCCAGGACCATCTCCTCAGCAATGGTCCTGCATGTAATGCTCAAAACTGTATCCAAAACCTTCCAAGTTTTGGGTGTTCATTCAGGCTCTGTCCTTGATTCTGTCAGGTGCTTAAGTACATGATTTGTTGGATGGACTTGCATCGTACTCAAAAATGTGCTTAACCATAATTTTGGCATGAGAGCTGAGTTGGGGACATTTTGCAGGAAGCCTGCCTCTGAGATCATTGTCACAATGTTTTAAAGTTGGAGATTGTGCAACTATTATCCTTTATTGCTCGTTTTATGCCAAAGTCTCCCTTTCTTTTTACATTCCTCTTAAAAGCGAAGCTATTTTGGAGCATTTAATATTATTTAATCTCTTTACTCTGGCAGCATAGAAATTACAGGAACCATTACAATGGTCCTGTGTGAGCGTATGCTTTATTGATGTATATGCTGACCTAATATCAAATTGATTTTACTCAGCTTTTCTGCTGACCATGGAAAAATGCAAATTGGGTATTATATTTGCACACTAATTTTATTGGGCCCCTCTGTCTTCATAAAAAGATAAAGTTTGGGCTAATAAAAATAAAACATTTCTGGGGCTAATATAGGCAAATGTTTATGTAGGCAGGTAACAAATTGGTTTGTCATTTAGGGGAACATAAAGAGCACTAAAATCATCTTTAGGCAAAATAGATTGGTGGCTTTTGCTTAGCTTTTAGCTTTC